ATACTTCTGCAAAAAACATAAATTCATTTCTAAAAAATTACAGGTAAACTCACGGACCATATATCTCATGATAAAAAATGACCAAAAAAAATTCCTGCTTTTCTTTATATATTTTGTTTTAATTTTCTTTAAATCCAATTTCGTTTCTGATTTTTTTAAAATCCTAAACAAATTCGGATTAAAAAAAAACAAAATTAGGTTGTAGGGCTTAAAATTCCCTACAACCCCATATTTTTTTTATTTGTTTTTTACCTATTATTTAATTCAGGAAAATTTGTGTAACAGCGGGTCCGCGGTGCGGACCAGGTAGGCCGCGGATGCGGACCCATTTGGGTCCGCGATCCGAGCTCGACCCCGCGGACGCATCCGCTGGTGTTACATAGCGCCGAAGACCCCGATCCAGTGGTCCGGCGCATCACCTGGCTCCCCTGCTCGACCCATGTCTGCAACTTGATGTTGTCAGACATTGGGACACGAGTGGGGTGGGTAGTTGACACCATTATCCGTGGACGAGCGATGGTGCAATTTATTAAATCGCACGGCGCAGCTCTCACCCTTTACAAGAAGAAGAGCCCGCCCGTTTCGCTTGTGCAGCCCGTTGAGACTCGCTTCGCATTAGTTTTCATGATGTTGACTTGTCTCCTCGGGAGACGCGACTCGCTGCAGGCGATGTTGCATGACGACGCGTGGGCGAGTATCCCGTGGGAGCGGAGACTGCTGCCCCAGGCGAGATGGGTGCATCCCCAGATTCAAGATGGCGAGTTCTGGCGCTATGTCGAGTTCTTGATTCTTGTGATGGAGCCCATCCATCAGCAGCTGAGGCGGATGGACAAAGGAGGGATGATGATGTCCAGCGTCTACGAGTGGAGCCGTCATCTCGTTCAGCTTCAAACGAAGTTGGACGTTGTGCCGGCCGATCTTCTGACCCCGTGCGTGCGAGAGGTCAGGATGCGGCTCATGCACTTATTGGAGCCCGCGCACGCTGCCGCTCATCTCCTAAAACCCGGTTGTCGGTCTTTGAGGTACTACGCATCCCTCCACACCACGACAGAGGATGCGGAGGTTGTACATGAGAGTGATCGTTTTCTCCTTGCGCAGACTGGAGTTGATCCCACCAGCAGGGATTACCTCGTTGTTTGTGACCAGATGCGCCGATTCCATGCGCGCAGTGGAGACTGGGGTGACAGGCTGGTGTCGGATGCCGAGGCGGAGGGTTGCCATGGGGATCAGGAGACGCACCGTTGCGAGGCGTGATGGTTTGCCCACGGCACTGCCCACCCTGAGTTACGTGCTATCGCTATCCGTGTGATGCACATGTGGACGTCAGCCTCTCCCGCGGAGAGGAATTGGGCGGCCCACGAGCGCATTCAGACGGCAAAGCGGAGCAACTTTGCCTTCGCCAAGCTGGAACAGCTGGTTGAGATCACGACAAATCTCAAACTGGCTTCATGCAGGCAGCAGGGTGGCGGCTATGTGCTTTCGTGGGTCATGGAGGGTGTCGACACCGAGAGACGGTTGCCGGACGAGGACGAGGACGAGGACGGTGACCCTGAGCCTAACGTGTGGGGGGCGAGACCCGTTGGTACGTTCACCGACCGGGAGATTACGAGGCAGATCGATGTTTTTCGCAAGGAAGACACAAGTCGTCCTCGAGAGGTTTCTGTTGTATTCGGGGATCAGGTGGCCACTCTGCTCCCTTTCAACCATGTGCCTCCTCCCCCGTCCCGGGGTGCAGCAGAGGGTTCTACGGCAGCCGTTGAGGACGGAGAGGACGATTGGATGGACGTAGAGGATGTGGTGGGGGGCATAGACAGGACGGCGGAGCAGGTGTACTTCATGTAAGGGGGCGGGTCGGACGGGCATGCGTCGTGGACGTCCGTCATCACGGACGATGTCGCTGGTGGGGCACAGGGTAGCGCCACTCGACACCCTCCAGCGGGTCGAGGTCGTGGCGCCGTTGCTCGCGACGTTCACCCTCGCGCGAGGAGAGTTCTAGGGGTGAACTCGAGTGACAAGGACGAGGGCGTGGCACCTCACGCTGACCGCCTGCGGGACCCTCGGTTCGATCCGAGCCACCACTCCAAGGAGCATTCAGAGCAGCTCCGTCGGTCACACAGGTTGGCAGAGCATAGCGTTCAGGCGTCCCAGCAGCCTCAGGACATACCGGTCGCGGAGGGGACACCGTCACACAACGGCCCCGCTCAGGCTGCGACATCCTCTCAGCGCACCAGCGATTTCGATATCGCGGGTTCGCATGGGGGCTCACCTGTCTTACGATGCAGAGTCCATGACAAAGCGGAGTACAGGACAGATGTGAGGGAGAGGGAGGAGACTATTGAGGAGAGGGACGCTCGCCTGGATCACGAGGAGGAGGCACGGTTGCAGTTCATGCCCCGATGGGAGGGCAGAGAGGCGTATGAGGCCGAGTAGCGGAGGAAGAGGGAGTTAGAGACGATAGGAGCGGGTCCACCATCGAGCATCGGACGTATGCCGACTTCTGACACGATGCAGCCCCCCTCATGGCCCTTTGATGTTGTGGGTGGTGGGGCTGACACATGCGGATTGGACGCTGGAGGCGGGGGGCAGGTAGATGTGCCATGCGAGGGTGGTCCTGTCGGGGGTGTCGAGACGGTGGGGGCAGACACAGGAGATGAGAGCTCTGACGACGGCGAGGAGTGTGCGGCCGCCGAGGCTATCGTAGACGACGTCATGATTGGCATATGCGCGGCTGGCACAGATGGCGGGACTCATGGAGGGGAGGAGGGGATGGTGGACGAGGGCAGTGTGCCTTTGCCTGAGGAGGAGTTGGTGGACGAGGGGAGTGTTCGTTTGCCTCAGGAGAAGTTGGACGAGGGCGATTTGGCTTTGCCAGAGGAGGAGTTGGTGGACGACGGCAGTGTGCCTTTGGAGGGCAGTGTGCCTTTTGTTGATGGGCGACACAGGATGATGAGGAGGGAGCAGCGGTCGATGCAGGGCACAGTGCCCCGTCCGTGCGAGATGGTGTGACCGGAGGGCATGTTGAGGAGGAGGTAGCAGCCATCGACATGTCCCTCGCGATTATTGTTAGGCCCCCGTCCGTGCGAGATGTCGAGAGAGAATGGCATATTGACTCGGGCGTGCCGGGCTCTTTCTCTGCAGGTGGGGGAGATGCCTCGGTGGGATGGCGGGGAACCGGGGGAGTGCACTCTGACCCCATTACATCCGGAGCAGTTGGAGAGGTTGGGGACGGAGGACCCTTTCCCGTTCACAAGTGGTCAGCCCTCGTCTCCCCCGTGGGCTCCAGTGAGCCCTAGGTGGACCGGATCATCGCAGTCCGACATCCGCGAGCGGGAGTCTTTGGAGAGCCAGGCGACAGTGTTTTCAAGCGGGCCTGGCAGCAGCCATGCGCAGCCACTTACGCGCCCTGTATCTCGAGCATCGTAGCTGACCACAGCACCGGTTGCAGGTCTTCCACCGATTGGAGGTCGAGGCAGCGGGCGGGGATCTTCTTCGAGTCATCGAGATGGCGTTTTAGGGGGGTGGTCGTCTTGTCGGCGAGTGACGGACAGTCTGAGGAGGGACTACGATAGAGGACGGGGGCTGTTCGCACGAGGACCATCGGGGGAGGGAGATCCTGCAGCGGGTGCGAGTGAGGCTGGACGATCGAGTGTCCACACAGCAGGACGTATACTCGGATTGGATACAGTCGAGACAAGGAGGACAGAGAGGTTGGAGGTTTATCCCGCTCGATCAGCCATTGACGACAGATGGCAGGGACTGCCGTACACATCGGGGGAGGAGGACTTGCATATGCCACAGGGTTCGAGACGTCATGACTCGATCAGGGATCTTGATGCGGAGATTGCTGCTGACCAGCAGCGGTTGGCGGACCTCATTCGCAAGCGTGAGAGGAGGTTGGAGACGGAGGCACAGGCTGAGGAGGCGGACACAGAGACCGAGCCCATCGACACAGCTATGCGGAGAGAGAGGCATCGGAGAGTAGCGTCCGCGGCAGGCTCACACCTTGCACCCGTAGGGAGAGAGGGAGCACCACATGGTGGGGGTCGGGGTGGGAGGAGAGGAGCATTGGCAGGGTGAGGGAGTGCAGCACGTCATAGCACTCATACTAGGCGCGGTAGCAGGGGTTAGCGACTTGTGTAGCACGGCAGATCAGTTTTTTACTTTCATGTTTTTTGTATGCTATCTTTATTTTATTCGTACATTACTGTCATGTTCTTAGTTGTTAGGTTTCAGACTTGCTATACGTTGTCAGTTTTACACGGCAGGAGTTAGCGACTTTATGTAGTAGGGCAGATTAGTTTTGTACTTTCATGTTTTTGTATATTATCTTTATTTTATTTGTACATTACTTTCATGTTCTTAGTTGTTAGGTTTCAGAGTTGCTCTACGTTGTTAGTTGTGTTGTGCTACGTTTCCATCATGTTAGGTGTCAGACTTGCTCATGGTTATAGTATTCTTTTCCTGCACTGCAACACCTGTTTTGGTTTTCTTGGCCAGGTTGTCATGTTGACTTTGTTCACATTTCGTCATAGACACATAACGTTTGCCAGTGCTATGTTTGCATCATGTATTGGTGTTTTTGAATGTGCTGTATTGTCCTTATGTCTATCAAACCCTATCCCCTCCCAGTTAATGTCCCTCCCCAACCGCCTTTCAGCCAATGAGCCCTCTCTTTTTGCGCCCTCCCAAATTCCCAATGAATGACATCCACCAGCACCCCCCCAACGAACGACTCCCCGACCAGATCAAACCCCCAAAACCATTGCTGAAGAAACGAAAAAAAAACATTTATGTGTTGTGAAAGTGGCACCCCCAAAACCCTCTACCCCCCCCCCCCCCCCCTCTACAACCCGTAAACCACCCCCCCAAAAAAAAAAAAAATTGTTATCAGCGTGTCCGTGAAGGGGACCCCTCGTAACCCAAGCCTGCGCCGACAAAATTGAAAAAAGGAAGTCCCTTATTTTTTAACTCCCCCTTCAACATACCCCAATTTGGACCCCTCCATTTTTAACTTTTTTTCATTTTTTTCTTTGCGGGGGTGTCTGGCTTTGCTCGCGCCCCCAGAATCTCGACCCTGACTTCCAGTACCCCCTCCCCCGCGCCCGCGGCGCGCCTTTTTTTACCGCGACCGCCGCGGTCATGACCGCGGGCCAGCGGTCGACGCGGGGGCCGCGGTCGTGCCCTCGGTGACCGCGGCCGCCGGGGATACATAAGTGTGTGTGCGTGTGTGTGTGTGTGTATCTGTGTGTGAGAGAAAGAGAGCGAGAGAGAGAGAGAGAGAGAGTCGTTGGGACGCCGGCCACCTGCCACCTGCTGCGTCGAGGCCGCGCGGCTGAGGTCAAGGCCTGGTGGGAGAGAGAGAGAGAGAGACAAAGAGAGAGAGAGAGAGAGAGAGAGAGAGAGAGAGAGAGAGAGAGAGAGAGAGAGAGAGAGAGAGAGAGAGAGAGAGA